ATATAAGTGTAGTCTTATATAGGTCCTAACAATATAAGTGTAGTCTTATATAGGTCCTAACAATATAAGTGTAGTCTTATATAGGTCCTAACAATATAAGTGTTGTCTTATATAGGTCCTAACAATAGAAGTGTAGTTTTGCAAGCGAACAAAGTATTTTATCATTAAGAGATATCAAGGAATATATATATATATTACCGTAGGGTGAATGATAAAGTATCAAACAGGTACGTTTAAGCATTACACGATATTGCAAGGCTGTTCAAGCAGCATTATACATTATTAGGCGCTTAATAGCACAATTAAATACGTATTACTCAGTTTGAGAAAATGTGTACGTGTAGAAAAGGAAATACCCGAATGCCAAGTTGATCACAACAGTTTTGTCTACACGCACAGAATGTTTAATGTCCAAACGTAAAATTACTTCCCCAACTGATCTCCGAAATACTGATTTTTCTTATCTAGGATTTGAATGACAAAACCAAGCTTGCAAATAAAAACAATTCAACTTTAAAACAAAAACCAACACTTTATAGTTGTTTAGTGTAGTAAAGTCAAACTTCATGTTGTCATTATAGCAAAAAATTCTTGAATGGCATTGAATAATATCTTGAAAGATACTATATTCAATGGTCAGCATATTAAAAATATCAGTTAACTCACGTTTTAATATATATACTAAACAATTCATCGGGATCTGTATGGCTTGATTTTTATATGAACTTTAAATATTTTTGAAGATAATCTAGCAAAGAAAGCAAGCTATAATGGCTAATATGAAAAGTGAACTGTTTAATAAAAGTACGGAATTTCCAGATTTCAGTGAAACTTGCATGTAATCATAATTTAAATTTCGTTGATATGGAAATACTTCGATTTCTCTGTGAATGTGACGAATTTTATGAAAATATACAGACGAAAACTATTAATTAACCCAGGCTCTCGTGTCCTTTAATAGCTTAAGGCCCAATATGAGTACATTTAAAATGTTTATAAAATAAGGTGCGAGTTAATTCAGTCTTTAAAGACAAAGTTAGGGATTCTCAATCTGCCAGTTTCAGAAACAGTTAGTACTTTGACCATCTCATTGTTAGATCATGGTGGAATCAGAAAAATATGAGTTTCAAGAATAGTTTTGATAACTTCTTTTTATTACGGATGAACTAAATATATTTTTCATCCGTAATAAAAAGTAGTTATCAAAACTATTCTTGTTTTAGTTTATTAACTAGTAGATGGAGTTCTTTACTAGTTATCGTTATATAAATATATACTTCATCCGTAATAAAAAGTAGTTATCAAAACTATTCTTGTTTTAGTTTATTAACTAGTAGATGGAGTTCTTTAATAGTTATCGTTATATAAATATATACTTCATCCGTAATAAAAAGTAGTTATCAAAACTATTCTTGTTTTAGTTTATTAACTAGTAGATGGAGTTCTTTACTAGTTATCGTTATATCTATATATATTTATATAACGATAACTAGTAAAGAACTCCATCTACTAGTTAATAAACTAAAATAAGTTTTATCAGTGTCTAAAATTAAAATGGTTGAATTATAATACAAATTCATGTTGAAAGTATATGTTGCTAAATAAATTGCGGTATTAAGAAGTAGCTAATCTTTGCAACTTGAAGGATTTTTTTCTATACATTGTCTGTGATGGAAATGTATGTGGATTATTATACCTTAGAAACCTAAGGGATTATTGTAATTCAGTGAATTCAAGGTTTCATATAAACATTGCAATCAAAGGCAAGACCTGCTATAATGAGCTGGTTTTAAGCAAGATATAATATAATTTTCCACAAATGTCCGCGACTAAAGTCACGATTTTAAACATCTATAGAGAATCTTCCACAAATCCCCGTGAGTAAAGTCAGATTTTAAACATCTATAGAGAATCTTCCACAAATCCCCGTGAGTAAAGTCACGATTTTAAACATCTATAGAGAATCTTCCA